AAAAAAAAAAAAAAAAATAATAGTTATCACTGCATGTTCTTATATATTATATCACTCATAATTACATAAATTTAAATCTCATTAAATATATATTTTTCAAATACCAATATTTTTGTTCTTTTGCATATATTCTTAAAATGTCAGCAATACTTTACAATAAAGATAAATATTTTATTAGTTAAAAAATCTATGACAGACACTCTTTAGTAGCTAATTCTAAACTTATAATTATAATTTTAAGAACACCTAAAATTCAATATGTATTAAAATCAATGTTGACTTTTGTGAAAAATCGATATAACTCATTTATATACGTTACCTACAATATAATGCAAATACAAAATGCAAACAACTTAAGTTATAAGAAAATCTCTCTGTAATTATTTTACAATATAATTATATATGTACCAGTTTATTGGAAAAATTTCACAGGACCTGTGCCCTACGGGCACCTACCTAGGTCTGCCCCTGTATCAGTTCTGAAAAAATAAAGATTTCGTTTTAACATTTGTTAGTAATAGTAAGTTAACCTACCACTGAGTTTTAAAAGCTGGTGACAGAAGGAGATGATGGATGAATATGGCTGTTTTTTTAGTTTTTTTTTTTTCTTTTTTTTTTTCAGTTTTTTGGTACAAAACAGAAATAGGATCGAGTCAGTTCGGTTTTGGTTTTGCATTTATTTGTACCGAAATTATCGGTTCGGTATCGGTGAGGGCTTGTCTGTTCAATTACCGAACCGACACCAGACCTAGTTTATATAAGTAGGCACCCCTTGTCCACACTATGTAAGGTTTTATTTTGATTTGAAGTTCCGAAAATACACCTTGATGTTCAAGCAAGAAAAATAAAAAGGAAAGATCTACATTGTCTCTTTTATTTATTAAAGTCCGGATACTACTATTATATATTTTTTTTTGGTACAAACCGGATACTATTATATTTAGTGTAAAGATTCTTTGTAGTATCTGTTAGACTTTATTTATGAAAAAATGATATTTCTGAAATGATTATTTTGGTTTTGTAGGAGATCTCGCATTCAAGGAAATAAGAAGTTGATCAAGGATCAATGGACATGTAGTTTTCGGCTTCCACTTATGAAGATCTCGGCCATATCTCAAAGCCTAAACGAGGAAAGAAATCGACGACTAAATGAAGGAATTTAAGACTCCTTGCCCCAAGGAGTTTATATATA